CCAGTCGGGAGCACTTTACGTCTAACATCTGACTTCCCACACTGGCCTCACACGTTCAGTTGCATATTGTGAAGTCCTGATGCGCTGCCTTTGGCACGGTTCAGATAATCTTGGTAATGAAGGAATCCTGTCAGTTTGTCTCCTTTTATTCTGCAATTGTTGCCATACTGACACTTCTGCCTGCTTGGTGAAGTGCCTGTATTAGGCCATTTCTTAGCTTCCTTCATTGGTCTCGCTGATGAGTCTTTGGGAGGAATGTGTCCCAGGGAGAGGCTCATTGGAAGTATCTGGATATTACAAGTGCTGCCAGTCCCCAGGACCTTTCCACACCCTAAGAAGATGATGGTTACTTCACAGCCTCTCATTATTTAATGCAGCTCCTTGCAGCTGTTAATTTATTATTTATTTGTATTGCTGGATGGAGGCTCGTAGACACGGATCGACATAACCTCATTCACCCCTGTTGACTGCATGGTAGCAATGCAGACAGTCATACATGTGGTGGAAGAGTGTATGATTAGAAAATTGAAACGGTGAGGCAAACCTGCAGCCAGACCAGGGCTGCTCACCAGGGCTGGCCTTACCATGAGGCGAACTGAGGTGGCCGCCTCAGGTGCCAGACTTGGGCAGCGAGGGGTGCCACTAGGACCCAGAGTGTAGAAAATTGTGTCTCCTGCTGGTGCATATGTATTCTCTCTGCTCTAGATGCACAGAGATGGTGGAGTGCTGGGCTGGAGGAAGGAGGGCACAAGAGACATAACAGGAAGACAGGAGAAAAGGTGAGAGGGAATAACAGAAAGCAGAGAGAGAGAGGAGGAGGAGCGTCTTATGTACCTCTCTAGCACCCCCCAGGAGCCTGGACTGATTAACACAGGCTTCTCAGGGAGCTTCCTGTTTCCTGCTGCTTCCCTGAACCCACCTGAGGAGAACAGGCAGTCAACTGAAGTAGTAGGAGCCAGTTAGGCCCTTAAGATGCTGATATCTTCCCTCACTCAGGCCTTGCTACCAGCCTGCTTATTTGTCCCCTTCAATTGAGTGTTGAGAGCCACTACAGCTGGCATAGAACAGCAGTCATGAGTGAAAGAAGAAAAGGCCCCTCTGGGGCAGCATTCAGAAAAAGAAAGAAAGCAAAGGAAGCTTTTCTATCTAAGCAGGATGGAGCTCTCCTGAGATACATAGTCACAAATGTTCCCGGTGAGCCTTCCAGTCCCAGTGAGGATGTGAGTGGTGAGGAGATGGCTGATCTTCCAGTTAGTCGGAGTGCAGGTGACCTGGCAGGTACTGCTGTATCCATATCTCATCTCAAATGGATGTAACCATGCACATTCCTGAAGAAAAGTGTAGATCAGAGAAGAGTGTGGTGGAGGTGCAAGAAACAGCTGCTGCTGAGTTTAGTTCCTTAAGTCTAGATGATCCAGGGCTGTGGACTCACTTGAGCAGTAGCCTGAGGGACTTCCTTGTACTGCATGGGCCACAGCAAGTGAAAAACTTCATGTTCCCCAAAGACAATGAAAATAGAAGTTTCCATCCAACACATTACTGGCGTGAAATCCCCAATGGTGACAAAGGGGTGAGGCTGCTGAATTTTTTAATGTAATTCAAAGCACCTATGTATTTTTCTCTGCATCAACTCATCGATGGCAAATTTTGAAGCAACATCTGGGAACATCCTCTCTGACACTGAAACCACTGAGTGCCACATGATGGGAAAGTCGAGTGGAGGTGATAAAGCCTATCAAATACCAGATTGGGACAATAGATGGTGCCATAGTTGCCATTATGGAGGATAATGCTATGACAGGAACTGTTCGTGGGAGAACAGTGGCAGAGGGAAATGGAATCACCAGAAACATACATAACTTCACATTTCTGTGTGGTTTAGTGCTGTAGCATGACATACTGTTTGAAATAAATGTTGTACGCAAGAGATTCCAAGGTGTTGACCTTGATATATCTGGAGCAATGGAACAACTGTACAAAGCAAAATCATACCTACAGTCTTACCAGTCAGATGAGGGATTTCAACACTTCTAACACTTCCTGTAACAGTTGCCAGTGAAGAATGCAGCTTCTCCAATCTGAAGTTAATAAAAACACATCTACGCTCCACAATGACACAGGAGAAGCTGGTTGACCTTGCAACCATCTCAGTAGAGCTTGAGCTGGCCCAGACTGTGGACTTTCAGGAAGCAGTTCAAATCTTTGCGACCAAGAAGGCACAGAAAGCACCACTTTGATTATTCAAACAGATAAAAATGCCAGTATTTACTATGCAGACAAGAAAAGTTACATTTGCTGTTCAGGTGTTTGAAAGTTAAGTTTTACTTAAAATTTTTGAACAAGGCATTTTAAGTTGTTAGTTCTCCTTTATTGGGGTAGGTAGCAGAGCAGTACCATGAGAGGAGTAGAACTGGAAGAAGATATAATTGAGAGCTTTCAAAGTTTTGGCCCAAGCGAGGAGGCATGGGGGCATCATTTGAGCTTCCTGCCTCAGGTGCCAAAATGTTGTGGGCCAGCCCTGGGGTTAAGAAATCAAAGGGTTGGCGAGGACAGTCATAGGAGGAGCTGATGTCAGATCTCTGCCCTTATAAAGGAAATCAAGAGGGATGTGAAGTTCACTGCTAATTGATAGGAGGCAGACTCTGTAGGAAGACTTCTCCTGGCACTATGTTCCTGGTGTGTCAGCGAAGAGAACTGTAGCCCAGTCAGATGGTGGCGAATGTAACTAGCAAACAGAAAGGAAGAGCATTTCAAATGCATTTCAGCTCTTTCTTGTCATTTCCCCTTGCCGTGAGTGGCAGCATGAGGCAATTGCTGCCCCAGACTGATAGAAACCTCCCTTTTTAGCATGTGCTTTAATGCCTAGCATGCTGGATTTAATAAAAGCTGAACAGCAATGGAGTAACTCTATGGAGCTCAGGAACGTGGCTGGGAATTTCAGTCTTGTACAGTTATCCCAGCTAATTGCCTCTTACGAAGCCACCAGATGACATTTTGCCTTTCACCTACATGGGTATAATCTGATCGCTGGGAGCAATGGCCTTTCAAAAGAGTGATAATTATAAGTGTGTGTGCTGCTGTACCATAGCAACTGAGCACATAACTGATAGTGGGCCCCTGTCCCACAGGGCTTACAGCCTAAGGGGAGAAGCCAATGTAATGCAATCCAAGAGAAGACAGGATGTACACACAGGTGAGCTGTGGGTTTTAGAATTTACGAGCACTTAGCCATGCAGGATTTGTGTTTTCAACACCAGTCACCAGGCCCTCTTTTGTGTTTCTCTTGAATAGCTCTTGCTTAAATTCTGGGGAAGGATAATGAGGGTCACTAGGGAAAAAAGGGAAAGGACCAATGAAGAAAGAGAGAAGGGAGCAGAAAGTATGGTTACAGGTACTCTAAATGCCTACCGTAGATTATGTGGCATTTAGAGATGGTAGCGAGACAAGAGAGAGCAGCCACCTTTACCAAGCCAGGGCCTTTCCAGAAAGAGGGTTCCCTTTGCTATGTTTCTTGGCTCATTATCAGTATTCTTAAAACATTTCTTTTTACACATTTATTTTATACTTTCTTGTATCGAAAAGAACAAACCCCTAAAAACAAAGAAAGGGGATGCTAGATTGACAGCTTGGGCCAGCTGTGAGTGGTATTCAATTTAGCCAGCAACAGAATCCACTCAGAATCCTCCCACTGACTTATGCAATGTCAATTCAAAGCTGAATTGTTTTTAGATTTTCATTGATAGTTGACATGATGGTGATTATGTGAAATTGTCAACCAGTGTGACAGGTCTCCAGCCCTGTCTGCCTGGTGTAAAATTACATCCATTTACTCTGGCTGGAGATGCTTGGGATATTCTATTTGCCAGTGAAATCTTTGTGAGCCACTATCAATAGCCTCCTGCATCGCAATTGTTTTAATTCCATCCTGCTAATAATTTATATTTTGACCACAGAGAGGTGCCCTTTACCAACATCCTCTTTTGTGAGCTAAAGGTCACCAACTTCCTTTCCCACGCAAATTAAAACTGCCTAAATGCCACCACAAAATACAGAGTTAATGCCCTGCAAGCTTTGCCTTAAGGGAAAATAACCCATGGCAGCTGGTGGAACTGTATTTTGCAGCTGGTACTGCAGGAATGTACCATATCCAAACTTGGACTCACTAGCTTTCTGCTGTTGGTGAATCATAGGAGTAAATGATGAATACTTATCTTGTCCAATGTCATCCATCCCATCACCCAATGCAGAATTATTCCTGTGAGTATGTTCTCCAGAGTTTTGCCCAGCCGAGGTTTAAATGTGATGCAGCAGATCCTGCACTGGACTCTCATATTTCAGATCTGTCTTGCATAACACAATGTCTCATTTTAGGAGGACACCTCAACTACAGACCATCTAATCTTCTGACTAGTTTACCAGTCTCCCTGTGGATGTCTTTTGCTGCCGAAACAATTTATTTGCCAGTTGCACCTTAAAATAATGAACAGTCCATTCTTTCTTAACAGAACATAAGAACTGCCATACTGGGCCAGACCAATGGTCCAACTAGCTCAGTATCCTGTCTTCTGACAGTGGGCAGTGCCTGATGCTTCGGAGGAAATGAACAGAACAGGACAATTATCAAGTGATCCATCCCCTGTTGTCTAGTTCCAGCTTCTGGCAATCAGCGGTTTAGGGACACCCAAAGCATGCCAGCCAGTCCTTACTTTGCCTTGCAGGTTAACAATAGGTGCACCCCTGTCCCTGAGTCCCTTTGAAGCATTCCCATGTAGAGTCCAGTCCCCTTATACACTGAACACTCACAAAAATCCTAGGTCTGTTGTCCCCAAAGGAGCAGTGTACGCACCAAGTTGTATGATTCAACTCAGGATCAGCACTTTGATTAATATCACAGCACTTAGATATAGTTATAGTGAAAACCAATAAGAAGTTTATTATCAAAGATTCACTTGATAATGAGTAAGAATATTGGAAACAAATGGTTACGTATGCAACAAAATCATAACACACTTTCTAGAGACAAAACTTAACCTCCTGTCTAAAGTTTTTTTCTCACAGACTCACTATCTTTTTTCTGCAGCTTTTCAGTCCAGGTTGGCTAAGATCCTGTTTTCATAACTGTAAATGCACTTCCTGTTTACTTCCCAGATGTGGGATGATGGGGTGTCTTCTTTGCGTCATAGATATATCCCCAAACCTTATTAGTTTTGCACACAACCAGGACAACCACCTGTGGTTTGTTTTTCCTGGGTGCTCCTTCACTGTTGACTTCACATCTCTTTGCTAACTTCTGACTTTGTATGTAAACTGACATCCATTGTGTGAGCTTACTATGCTTAATTTATATTTTACACATTTCTTACCTCCTTTTTGGAGGACAACCTGATTGTCACCCCTGCCTTGACATAGACTTTAAAACCATATTGCCCAGAGGTAAAGATAATTCCTTACACAGTATTGGTATATACATTTCACAATGATATGACTGAACAGAGTGACCCCAGCTTTCATTTAAGACTTCACATAATGTTCTTTGGTGAACCAGAATGTACATCCCAGAATCAAGATATTCCTGTAACCCCCTTGCCGGTTGGCAGTAAGGGGTTCTTGGGTCACAGCAGTTACCATGTGTTCATTTTACTGTAAGGGAGACATTGCCAAACTGGATCAGTCCCCTGGTTCATCTAGTTCAGTAGCTTCTCTCCAACTTCCCTTAGTTCTTCCTCCCTCCATCCTCAACTGCATGTCCCTTCCTAATCACGTTGGTTTGTTAACTGTAGATTGCGGGCTGTAGCTTGGCTGGGTGACCAATGAGAGACCTTTAACAGACAGCACTCACCTATGAGGGATGTCTGAGCTGTGGCAATCTACCTCAGCCTGGGAATTAAGCTACAGAAAACAGAAGGAAGTTGAATCATTTTGTCTAGTAAAAGCTGGATCCCTGGTTCACTGAAACACCTAAGGGGATAGATAAGTCCAGTTGTGCCCCTAGAAGCTCTCCTTCATTCAGAGAAGAGACAGTGGTATTCTAATAAATGTTGGCAGAAGTTCTGTTCTCCAGTCTTCATACACCTGTACATGATATACTATGCTACTTCCAATATAGTCTCCCAGTACTTTGAAGTAGTGCACTCAGTGTAATCCGATTGAGTAGACATTTGTAAAAGGTCCTAAGAGAACTGGCTAAGTCAGTAACACACCAGATGCAATCCGTGCTTCTCAATCATCAACAATTTCCCTCTAAACAATTCAGAATAAGGAATTGTTTAAAATAAGATAAACCCAGCAGTAATTGAAAGAAATTCTTGGCTGAAATGAGATTGACTGGAAACAGGATTTAATAGACGCAGGATATTGATTGGGGCTAGCAATGTTTGTAAAGAATTTATGTGAGCCATGCAGTTTCAAGTTCAAGATAGCCCCTAGACTTTGGTGACCTAAATGCGTAGGCCATTGTAATTTAAGAGGGTTCAAGGAAGGAGCACTGGCTATTCTAAAATGAGTGGCCAAGGGGCAAAATTCTTTGTATAGAGTTCTAATACTTCAGTCCCATCCTGGGAATTATGATTCCTGTGTAACATCTGCTCTGATTAAGATGGTGTGTATTTGATCCTTATCACTATTTTCTGCTAATTACTGAGGTATATGATTCAATCTAAGGCCAGATCTTTAGTAACTCAGCATAGCTCTGTCAATCTCAATTGGAGCTATGCTGATTGATACAAGCTGGCCCACCAAGTCTCATTTCCCAGGGATTCTAGTATCTGATGAGCATTCTGATGATCATCAAAAGGAAATGGTAAATAAATAAAACCTGAAACAAAATTGTTACATTCACAGAGACTTGTTAGAAGTTACCATTACTTATTCATACAGAACTGGAAGGCTCAGAGTCTGAGCTCAAAAGGTTTCAGAGTAGCAGCCGTGTTAGTCTGTATCCGCAAAAAGAAAAGGAGGACTTGTGGCACCTTAGAGACTAACAAATTTATTTGAGCATAAGCTTTCGTGAGCTACAGCTCACTTCATCGGATGCATTCAGTGGAAAATACAGTGGGGAGATTTATATACACAGAGAACATGAAACAATGGGTGTTACCATACACACTGTAACAAGAGTGATTAGGTAAGGTGAGCTATCACTAGCAGGAGAGAAAAAAAGCCTTTTGTAGTGATAATCAAAGTGAGCCATTTCCAGCACTTGACAAGAACATATGAGGAACAGTAGGGGTGGGGGGGAAATAAACATGGAGAAATAGTTTTACTTTGTGTAATGACCCATCCACTCCCAGTCTTTATTCAAGCCTAAGTTAATTGTATCCAGTTTGCAAATTCATTCCAATTCAGCAGTCTCTCCTTGGAGTCTGTTTTTGAAGTTTTTTTGTTGAAGAATTGCCACTTTTAGGTCTGTAATCGAGTGACCAGAGAGATTGAAGTGTTCTCCGACTGTTTTTTGAATGTTATAATTCTTGACGTCTGATTTGTGTCCATTTATTCTTTTACATATAGACTGTCCAGTTTGGTCAATGTACATGGCAGGGGGCATTGCTGGCACATGATGGCATATATCACATTGGTAGATGTGCAGGTGAACGAGCCTTTGATAGTGTGGCTGATGTGATTAGGCCCTATGATGGTGTCCCCTGAATAGATATGTGGACATAGTTGGCAACGGGCTTTGTTGCAAGGATAGGTTCCTGGGTTAGTGGTTCTGTTGTGTGGTGTGTGGTTGCTGGTGAGTATTTGCTTCAGATTGGGGGGGCTGTCTGTAAGCAAGGACTGGCCTGTCTCCCAAGATCTGTGAGAGTGATGGGTCATTCTTCAGGTAGGTTGTAGATCCTTGATGACGCATTGGAGAGGTTTTAGTTGGGGGCTGAAGGTGATGGCTAGTGGCATTCTGTTATTTTCTTTGTTGGACCTGTCCTGTAGTAGGTAACTTCTGGCTCTGTCAATCTGTTTCTTCACTTCAGCAGGTGAGTACTATAGTTGTAAGAACGCTTGATAGAGATCTTGTAGGTGTTTATCTCTGTCTGAGGGGTTGGAGCAAATGCGGCTGTATCGTAGAGCTTGGCTGTAGACAATGGATCGTGTGGTGTGGTCTGGATGAAAGCTGGAGACATGTAGGTAGGCATAGTGATCAGTAGGTTTCTGGTATAGGGTGGTGTTTATGTGACCATTGCTTATTAGCACTGTAGTGTCCAGGAAGTGGATCTCTTGTGTGGACTGGTCCAGGCTGAGGTTGATGATGGGATGGAAGTTGTTGAAATCATGGTGGAATTCCTAAAGGACTTCTTTTCCATGGGTCCAGATGATGAAGATGTCACCAATGTAGTGTAAGCAGAGTAGGGGCATTAGGAGACGAGAGCTGAGGAAGCATTGTTCTAAGTCTGCCATAAAAATGTTGGCATACTGTGGGGCCATGCGGGTACCCATAGCAGTGCCGCTGATTTGAAGGTATACATTGTCCCCAAATGTGAAATAGTTATGGGTGAGGACAAAGTCACAAAGTTCAGCCACCAGGTTTGCCGTGACATTATTGGGGATACTGTTCCTGATGGCTTGTAGTCCATCTTTGTGTGGAATGTTGGTGTAGAGGGCTTCTACATTCATAGTGGCTAGGATGGTGTTTTCAGGAAGATCACCGATGGATTGTAGTAGCTCAAAAGGAAACTAATGTGTTTCTAAAGGCTAGCTAGATATCTGAATTTTCAGGCTCCTTTCTTGGTGTGTATCAGCCATTTCTGTCTAAGTCGAGTTTAACCTACATCCGATGCCCACTGCCCACCTATTGGGTTCAAGCACTTCTTTGAGGTCTTGAGAGGAGGCAGAGGAAGTTACTGATAATTCTGCTTTATTATTGAAATTGGCAGAGCTGATCCAGTTTGGGGTATAAACCTGTTTAACGTCACTACCTTAATACCTTAAGCATCGCCTCTGTGGGTTGTTAACAAGGGTCACTGTGATCTAGATTTCACTCATCATGTCCACCAATGTCAGGTAAAATGCCTAACTACAGCTGGTCAACAATCCCAAACTTATTCTGATAATGTGTGTACTGCTTCTTGTTCATCAAACTCCATCCACCGCCTCACTGGCACCAAGCAATTTGTTACGAGGGTATTTCTGGGGGTATTATACCCCATGCCAGGGGGGAAATAACATCACAAACCAGTGGATGAATGGCCCACTAGTTACTGAATGTAGATGCAGTTGCTATCATTTTGATGCTGAATATGTCCATTGGAACCTATTGGCTCATTAGGACTGGAGACCTATTAATATTTGGGTTTATTGCTCTCACAAATTGAAACTACTGTATATACCTACCTCCTATCCTGCTAAACTGCAATTGTTCTCTATGTCCATTCTGCCAGGCACCAGGATCATTCTAGTTTGTGGATCAGCCACAAATGGGAGAATAAGACCCGAGGTTACACAGAATTGAAAATTCAGTAGCAGGCATTGAATCCCATGAGAGGTGGATCTGCTGTATCGTTTGGCTTGTTATAGATATATGGACCAGCCATAAGATTAGGATGCAGATCAGGGCTAAGATTTCAGTAGTGTTTGAATTCAGGAGTTTGGTTTGAATTCATCTCTAGATTATATCTGCTTTTTATCAATTAAAAGAGGTGGCTGGGGTAGGGGAAAGGCTGAAAAGTCCCATCCAGGTCAATAGTGCTCTTTTGCTGTATAGAAATACAGGATTTGACATAGCAAACATTCTAAACAAATTTTCAAGCAAACCCCAGCTCAGCCAGTGAAGGCTTGTACTGGTCTTTCATTATGCACAGTTCTTCCGTGTATTTATTAATGTCTAAGGTATCCATTCGCTAAGTACCTGGGGACCCCCTCTCTATCATCCCTGGTACACACTTCAGTATACTCTATATAACATAGCTAGGCGCGGAAAGCTCTTTGGGACAGTGACGGTCTGTTCATTACATGTATGAATGTAGAGGGGCCCTGATCTGTATCAAGGGCCTTAGATGCTACTGTAATACAAATAAATAGCTATAATCACAATACTTCCCTATTCACCATGATCATACATACAAATGAAACTTGTTTACCTGCAGAGTTTCATGCCAGATTGTCTCATTATAGAATAGGAAACCAGCTGGAATTATTGTGTCTTGAATTTCTGGAGTGGCACTTGGGCTACTTTCAATGTGAGGTCATTAATCATGGCACATTTTGATGTATACAGCAGCTTTCCAAGTTTCTATTATACCTTGCGTGTGCCTACCACTGTTTTTGAGACCTTTACACTTGATGATTTTGTGTGGTGGCAGCTGTTCTGCTCTGAGCTGCATGTTAATCTTATTAGTAACCTCTACTTAGTGCCACCAAATATTAAGATAGAAGAAAAATTGTGTCCTGTAAGCTGTGTCTTTTACTTGCTCCTTTGGTACAATTTTCCAATGCTGTAGCCCTGGTAATTCTATCCAGTTCTCTTTGTAGAATCCAATTGAAGCTGTGATTTAAAATCAGTGAGCAGAACTCCCAGTGATAATCACAATAGTTGGTTCCTAAAGACTCACATACATTAATGACAGGCCAGCTGTTAGCACATGAAGCACATCTGTTCATAAATTCCCGAACATTCCTATAGTATGCATCTGAAACAACAATTTGCATTTTTTAAACATTTTCTTTGCCTTAAAATTATTTTGGACCAGATAGTTAAATAAAAGACAGTATAATATATATACACACACATAGAGCCACATATCACACCAAAACCAAATATATGCTGTATAGTCCTCAGATAGGTCAGAATGAAGTGCAGGTTCGGTTCTCAGAACAGTTCTCTTCTGTAGGTGTACAGCTGGATAGCTGCACATTTGTGCTCTAGACATACTGTACAGTCCCTTTCTAATTTGAGGATATGGAGCTGTAAGATGCCACACAGTGACGAAAGAATCTCCAATGTATGGTGAGAGTCTCACAGAAAGTCTCTGTCGCTCACCAGGATTACCAATGGCTGCCATTTGTTTTATGGAGCAAAATCTTCCCTAGGAATTCCCAGGATTCAGAATGTTCCTTTTAACCATGTGCAATCTTCTATGCTTTTGATCTAGTCCAAATAATAACTTGCAGTTATGGGACATGCTCCACTGGATGGTTTCATTGAACTGTACAATTCTGAATATCCATTTCTCTTCTTAGAGTGTAACCACAATTAGAAACAATAATATTACACATTTACATAGGACCATTCATCACAAAGGGCCCCATGACACTTTACAACTTTTACAAATTATTTAAGGTATCTAACACAATCATTTTGCTTGCCACTGAAATGCAGCCACCTCTGGGATAGCGTGTGGCAGCTGTTCAACAGTACACAGCAACATCACACTATAAGTTACAGCAGAACAGAAAAGGAAGAGTACTGTATGCAATTGTAGATGCTGGAGAGACTTTAAGTAGGAAGAATAAAATTTTCCAAATTGGAATTTGTCCAGGACAATGGAGCTGACACCTCTCCTATTATTGAAAGCCCTATGAGATCTTCATTAAATGACTTCAAGTGGCCTGGGTCTTGGTTCTATGTCCCCCCAGAAAGATGACACTTCAGCAATACAGTGCCCCTTACTACTGTTTGGGAGGCATTGGTTCAGAGAAAAGATATCCTACTGAAGACACTGTACAACCTCCTGCAGCACCTGGATTTTCTTAGGTTTCCTATGCAAACCCTGACTAGGCCCCACAAATAAAAATATTTGTGCATAACAGGCAATGTAAATGCACCACCACATTAACTACAGACCATGCAAAATGCTGCCAAAAGTCTAACACACAATCTAATTGTGAATAAATTAGCATTCAGGAAAAGAAAATTAATTTGCCCTCTACGAATCTATTTTGTTAAATGCCCTAGAGAGCTCTTAAATTAATTTTGTTGTGTGCTCTCCGCATATGGCAGAAACAATTTTCAATAGGACGTTCCAGACAGTGTAAAATACAACCACGTACTTCCCAAAGTCTATGTTGTTTCATGGTCACCGTGTTTATCTGTAAAGTTTACTTTTCTTCACTGTTGCGGAGAAACCATTTAGATCTTCTTGTTCTGTGACATCATGATCGGAGCTGTCATGGGAATAGTCCTTCATGACGCTATAGTACACCGGAACATTGTACGGGGTGGGGTTCTCAGTCCTTTTCTGTTCACATCTGCATAACTTTTTGAAAGCTGCTCTAAATTTCTGAGACATCAGGTTGTAAATGATGGGATTGATGGCACTATTCAGGTAAATGCACATCCTACAGAAGAGGAGGAACCAGATGTTGAGGTACGGAGGGTCCAGGAAGGAGTTCACTACCACCAATGTGCGATATGGCATCCACAGCAGGGCAAAGAGGATCACTACCACAGCCAACATCTTGATCACCTGTTGAATTGGGAGGGACAAAAAATAAATAGCTGATGTTACACTTCTTCCAACAGGACCTTCCCACTTTTGAAACTGCAGAGGGCCAGCTCAGGGTCTGTGCATCACTTAACTCCCATTTAAGTCTTCAAAATTAGGCTAAGTGGGGCATAGATCTTGGGCAACCCCTCTGGAGGGGGCCAATTTCACTCCTGTGAGTACATTTTATATAAATAACACACTTACATAACAGGTCTCCCGTCATCATTGAAGACACTTAAAACCCCATTGGAAACAATCATTCATTGGCTGGGAGATGAGCTGGATAGAAAGGACTGAAGAGGTCAGAATTTCTGACTGGATGCAATTTTGAAAATTGCTTGTGACAACAACAAAAACGAAGGGGAGAACTATCCTGTATGCTAGGGCAGAATCCCAAACAGCATTTGATGCAGGAAGCATTCAAATTACTTCTCAGATATTTAACTGATTATTTTGGACTCTGTTGACTTTCTGCTCAATTTAAACATTTCAGATCCAAGTGATTCTGCCAGTTACTGGTATTAGAGCACCAGACTCCAGCATGAATTCCAGATCTGTTCCCAGAGCAATTTTTTTTGCAGAGTAGCTAGTGAATATTTTTAAAATCTGAAGCATCTGCAAAGTTCTGTATTGGCACATTAGGAAAAAGGACGTGATGAGAATTCAGAAATGAGCTGCGGTTCCTCTCTGCTGTACTCCAGAATTTTTTTAAAAATGCATTTCTCTTATATTGATTTTCTACAATAATCTGAATCAGGCAGTTGCAAACAGCCATTTCTATGAGTGATTATATTCCTTTCAGCACATATTTATTGAATACACATGCTCTTCAGAATGCTCTATATATGTTAGTGGGAGTACGACATGCATATTAAGGGAATAGGCACCCCTAAATGCCCAAAAAGGGGGTAGTTCAGTAATTATGCTTTTCTGCAGGAAGATAGATATTTCTGTCAAGATCTGACACCCTGGTTCTCTTGAAGTATGGTTTTCAGTTGGTTACAGGGTAGAATGCTCTCTGCAGGAGCTAAGAATGGTGACATGTCGCAATGTAATGCCTGAAACAAGAAAGGGATTACTACCAAGCCTGGAAGCCAGAGTACAGTACAGTGGTGACACAGGGAACATCCCAGCATGAGATAGTGGGATGATGCTATGAGTTACTGTGTCACAGCTAAGAACCCAATGGACCAGTTATTGTGTCTTACTCCTTCTGGGAAATACACATGAAGGATTGCAGTACGTGCGACGTTACCCATATCTGACAGTTCTACCATGGAAATCGTTACTTACAAGGAACAGGATGGCTCAGGGGATAGTAGAGTCATATATAGATTTCTGGTTCCAATCTATCCCATCTAGCATCAAATCCTATGCTTATGGGTAATTTTTAGAAATACTCAGAAATAGATTGGTAGTGACCAGCAGTCATTATAGTATGACGGTTGGCTTGCTGCTCCACATGAAATCCACTGGGTTCTGTCCAGTTCCAGGTATAACCAACTGTCATAACTGGTACCACTGTCTCAGTTAAAAGGATTAGGAGTGACCATGGAGACTGAACTATCTTCTGCTCAATAAAGGGTGTGTATTCATGTCAGTGCTGAGGCACATTCACGGGGCATTACGATGGAGTCCCACATTGCTGCAATCTGTGCTGTCAGTGATCTGGGTTTGTAGGATTTTTTGTCAAACCAGCGCAGTAAAGGATAGATTTCCTTACCAACCCCCCACATGTGGTACTTACAATGCAGTGCATCAGCGTTACTATATACAGCTGTTACATGTTAGTAATATAACATTCAACTAATCTGTTAAGGTCAATAAAATTGAAAGACAGTTGTCCAAAATATTTTTCTATTTACCACGGCTGGAGATGGAAGATGTATGAGGACTTGAATATGAGGATGGGTTTTACACTGTTCCCAAGGATGAAGATGGTAACCTTGATGGTTAAGCTTTGCAGGTGCCAACTGGGATGTTGCTATTGATAATGACAATGAAGGCGTTGAACCTGATGCTAAAGATTTGTAATGGATACAAAAAAAAATTATATATGAACATAAGAAATATTGTTATATCAATTAACTGAGAGAAACTGCTCAACATGATGGAGGCCAACACACCACCTGGAAAAGTAGTGGTCAGCACAGATAATCAGCCAGTTTTGTGCACAGAACAAAGTCATTAGAGAGACACAGTCAAGAGGGAGAGCTCACAAGAAGACACTTGTAGCCTTTTAGGAAGAGAGAGGGCCAGATCCTCAGCTGGTGTAAAGTGGTGTTGCTCCAAGTAAATGGAGCTATGCCAAGGATCTGACCAGGAATCATCTCTCTGTACATCTGTAAGGTCCAAACACTTCCCCCTGAGTCACTGCACATTTACCTCATCCTGCTGAGGTTTGATTCTGTAAGAGAACTTGGAATGTGTTCACCTTGGACAAAGCTGTAACAATCAATTGAAACCAAGTGCCTGTCTTAAGTGACCCTGAGTACAAATTCATTCAACCTTTAGTTCACCTCTACTAAACATTTTATTTAGCTTGGTCTCCTGGGTGGTTGACGCAGACTTGGCTGTATATTCATTTGGTTTACACAGGCTGCAAGCATCCTTGTCCTGTCTGAACAGGAACTCCATTAAGGCCCTGGCTATCCTCTGGGATAAGCAGAAAATTCAGTATTAGAGATTTGGGGCTTAGTCCAAAAACTGCTGAAATTAATGGGACACTTTCCATTGGCTCAATGGGCTTTGGATTGGGCCTATGCAAGATAGCCGTCTGAAAGTGTGACCTAGAAACCTTCGCTAGCCAGCCTAGGCAGACTGGGCATTGAGCACAGACATTCCTTCCTAAAGTGATGAGAGTTATCAGATTCCGAATGGCATACAATAATCCCTTTCATGTACATACTCTGAATACAAACTTTGGCATGTTTAGCTGTGCTCTCTGGTGGACTTCACTTCCCACTGGGGGACCGGAGTTTCATTTAAACATCTAAGATGACTTTTTTTCTTTATTTGTAATTCTCTTCTTCTTTGGTTTGAAGCACCATTATGTTTGTGAAGGGTGACCTGTTCATTCACAAGTAACAGTACCAGTCACTAATAAAGAGGGAATGTTCCCAATATGAGGGAAATTAACATCTGGTTACCGATGGTTTCTCAAGCCGTAGGAAATTAGGATGGAAGGAACCATTGGTCCAGTTGTCTTTTTACCAGAACAACCCCCCACCCCTTTTTCAGCAGGTGCTTATAGAAATGCTAGGAATCCTCAGTACTCATTCACTCTATTTTTACCTGACTTAACATTCACAGCTTCAGCTCATTCCCACAGTACCTGATTCCATGTCACAATAACTCTCTGATCAAAAAGCCTCTTCCTGATCTCAAGCCTGAATCTACCCTTCCTCAATTTTTGGTCAAGTTCAAGGTCAAGTAATTTTACCTTTTTCCCATCACATAAAGCCAGCACTGATTTAACCTCGAGAAGAATTGTATTACCTTTATTAAATCACTTTTTGTGTGACTTTTCCCATACACTGAGCACACTGATCTCTGTCAGGCAGCAGTTCTGCAGTACGCTCTCTAAAATGTAAATGTACTTAGTCAATCTGTACTGATCACGATCTCACAGATGGAGACCTAAGCAAAGCTGCATCTAATGGAATACATATCTCCTTTCACTGCAATATCATTTATTCCAGGTCTCTCTCAAGCCCACTTCCATTCCAGCATCATTGAGAGTAAAAAGGTCCTACGTCATAGCAGTGCATGACTGACAGGAATCTTTTGCTGTCCTCTTCTGTTGGATACTATAGGTCTCACAAGGCAATGATTTCACTCACTGTGTTCTGTAGTCACTCTTCACCAGGTCAGCATGAGGTATCATCCTTTCTTTCTGACTTTAATTAAATAATAGATTCCCCATTTAACCACCTTACCCACCATGCAGTACTTACAGGACATCAAAGTAGAATTGTTAAGCAAGAGAGAATTTATGAAGGTTAAGGATATCATAAATAATATGTCATGAGTAGCAAGGGTTATCTGAATGGTTTTAGTGACAAATGTCCTCAGTGACTTTGAGCATGTTTCATCCCAGATATAACCATCTCCAGTTGCTAAAAATAATTCTATTCCATTCTAGACCAGACATTTGCTGTTGAAGATTCCGGTTACAACACCTGTCTGTTTTGGTGGATGTGCAGCTCTGCCTGGTACTGTGGGGCCTGATTCCACACTTCACTGACTGCCTGTGTCATTTGCACCAGTGCAAAGCGGGTCTCAGATGCTCAGATGCCTTCTGATCTGGTAGCATTTTGCAATGCTTTGCATGGCCTTTAGGTGACCTAGAGGTGCAGGGTAACAGAGAGCCATGTTGGTCTCCTGCCTATCCACAAAGAAGCAAAGCACTTACTTAGGCTGCTCCCTCATAGAATCATAGAATATCAGGGTTGGAAGGGACCTCAGGAGGTCATCTAGTCCAACCCCCTGCTCAAAAGCAGGACCAATCCCCAATTAAATCATCCCAGCCAGGGCTTTGTCAAGCCTGACGTTAAAAACTTCTAAGGAAGGAGATTCCACCACCTCCCTAGGCAACGCATTCCAGTGTTTCACCACCCTCCTAGTGAAAAAGTTTTTCCTAATATCCAACTTAAACCACTCCCACTGCAACTTGAGACCATTACTCCTTGTCCTGTCATCTTCTACCACTGAGAATAGTCTAGAACCATCCTCTCTGGAACCACCTCTCAGGTAGTTGAAAGCAGCTATCAAATCCCCCCTCATTCTTCTCTTCTGCAGACTAAACAATCCCAGTTCCCTCAGCCTCTCCTCATAAGTCATGTGTTCCAGACCCCTAATCATTTTTGTTGCCCTCCGCTGGACTCTTTCCAATTTATCCACATCCTTCTTGTAGTGTGGGGCCCAAAACTGGACACAGTACTCCAGATGAGGCCTCACCAATGTCGAATAGAGGGGGA